AAATCCTCCAGACAGAAAATCAACATGGAAACAGTGGCCTTAAATGACACTTTAGACCAGCTGGATTTAATCAATATTTTTAGAGCATTTCACCCCAAAGCAACAGAATATACATTCTTCTCAAGTATACATGGAACATTTTCCAAGATAGACCACATATTAGGCCACAAAACAAGTTCAATAAATGCAAGAATATTGAAATCATATAAAGTGTCTTCTCTGATCACAATACTATGAAACTAGAAATAAATTATAAGAAGAAACCCGGAAAGCACACAAATACATGGAGAGTGAATAACATACTATTAAATAGCGAGTGGGTCAAAAATTAGATCAAAGAAGAAATCAAAAGCTATCTTAAAACAAATGAAAATGAATACACACAACCCAAAATCTATGGGATGCAACGAAAGCAGTCCTAAGAGGAAAATTCATAGTAATGCAGGCCTATCTAAAGACAAGAACAATCTCAAATCAACCGACTATCTTTACACCTAAGGGAACTGGAGAAAGAACAGCAAAACAAGCCCAAAGGGAGTACAAGGAAGGAAATAATAAAGAACAGAGCAGAAATAAATTAAATAGAGACAAAAAAAAAACAATACAAAAGATCAATGAAACCAAGAGCTGGTTTTTTGAAAAGATAAACAAAATCGACAAACCCTTAGCCAGACTCACCAAGAAAGAAAGAGGACCCAAGTTAATAAAATCACAAATGAAAGAGGAGAAGTGACAATTGATGCCACAGAAATACAGAAAATTGTAAGAAAATACTACAAGCAACTATAGTCCAACAAATTTGACAATTTGGAAGAAATGGATCAATTTGTAGAAGCATACAATCTACCAAATCTGAACCAAGAAGAAACAAAAACTCTGAACAGACTGATTACTATCACACAAATTGAATCAGTAATCAACAAGCTTCCAATAAACAAAAGTCCTGGACCAGATGGCTTCACAGGTGAATTTTACAAAACATTCAATAAAGAATTAATACATCTTCTCCTCAAACTATTCCAAAAAATACAAAAGGATGGAAGACTCCCAAGCACATTTTATGAAGCCACTATTACTCTGATCCCAAAATCATACAAAAACATTACAAAAAAAGAAAAGTACAGGCCGATATCCCTAATGAACATAGATGCAAAAAATCCTCAATAAAATACTAGCAAACAGAATTCAGCATCACATTCAAAAGATCATACACCACAATCAAGTGGGATTCATTCCTGCTATGCAAGGTTGGCTCAATATCTGCAAATCAATTTACGTAATACATCACATTAACAAAATGAAAAATAAAAATTATATGGTCATATCAATAGATGCAGAAAAAGCATTTGACAAAATCCAGCAGCCATTTATGGTAAAAACCCTTAGCAAAGTGGAATAGTGGGATCATATCTCAATATAATAAAGGCCATATATGATAAGCCCACAGCAAACATCGTACTCAATGGGAAAGGCTAAAAGCTTTCCCCATAAGATCAGGAACAAGACAAGTCTGCCCACTTTCATCACTTCTATTCAACATAGTTATGGAAGTTCTAGCCACAGCAATCAGACAAGAAATGAAATAAAAGGCATCCAAATTGGAAAAGAGGAAGTAAAATTGTCTTTATATGCAGATGACATGATACTGTATATAAAGAATCCCAAAGACGCCACCAAAAAAACTGTTAGAACTGAAATGAATTTAGTAAGGTAGCAGGACACAAAATTAACATTCAGAAATCACTTGCATTTGTATACACCAATAATAAACTATCAGAAGAAGAAATCAGGAAATCAATCCCTTTTACAGTTGCTTCAAAAACAATAAAATATCTAGGAATAAATTTAACCAAAGAAGTAAAAGACCTGTACTCTGAAAATTATAAGACACTGAAGAGAGAAATCAAAAAAGATACAAATATATGAAAATACATACCATGTTCATGGATAGGAAGAATTAATATAGTTAAAATGTCAATACTACCTAAGGCAATATATAGAATCAATGCAATTCCTATCAAATTACCAAGGACATTTTTCTCAGAAATATATCATATAATCCTAAAATTTATATGGAACCATAAAAGACCCCGAATAGCCACAGCAATCTCAAGAAATAAGGACAAAGTGGGAGGTATCACGCTACCCGACATCAAACCATACTGCACAGCTACAGTAGTCAAAACAGTATGGTACTGGTATCATAAAAACAGGCACATAGATCAATGAAACAGAATAGAGAGCCCAGAAATAAATCCATGCATATACGGACAGTTAGTCTATGACAATGGAAGCAAGAATTTACATTGGAGCAAAGATAGTCTATTTAATAAATGTAATGGGAAAATTGGACTGACAAATGCAAAAAAAATTGAAAATGGACCACCTCCTTTGGTCATATACAAAACTAATTCAAAATAAATTAAGGATTTAACTGTAAGACCTGAAACCATAAAACTCCTAGAAGAAAATATAGGGACTAAATTTGCAGACATTACCCTGAGCAATAGTTTTACTGATACATCCCCAGGGGCAAGGGAACTAAAAAAAAAAAAAAAAGTGAATAATGGGACTACATCAACTTAAAAGTTTTTTCACAACAAAGGAAACCATCAATAAAACAAAAAGGAAGCCTACTGAATGGGAGAAGATATTTTTCAATGACATATCTGATAAGGGGTTAATGTCCAAAATTTATAAAACACTCATGAAAATCAACACCAAAAACACGAACAACCCAATTAAAAAATGGGCAGAGGAGATGAAGAGGCATTTCTCTAAAGAGGCATATAGATGGCCAACAGGCATATGAAAAAATGTTCAACCTCCCTAATCATTAGAGAAATGCAAATAAAAACCACAATGAGCTACCACCTCACTCTGGTCAGAATAGCTATCATCAATAAATCAACAAACAACAAGTGCTGGTGAGGCTGTGGGAAAAAGAGAACCCTGCTACACTGTTGGGGGGGGACTGCAGATTGGTGCAGTCACTATGGAAATCAATATGGAGGTATCTCAAAAAACTGGAAATGGAACTACCATATGACCCAGCAATTCCACTCCTGGATATCTATCCAGAGAAACACAAGACGCTAATTCAAAAAAATATATGCACCCATTTCATGCAACACTGTTTACAATAGCCAAGACTTGGAAACTGAAATGCCCATCGGTAGAGAACTGGATTAAGAAATTGTGGTAAATTTACACAATGGAGTATTAGTCAGCTATACAAAAGAATGAAATCATACCATTTACAATGATATGCATGGACCTAGAGAACATTATGTTAAGTGAAATAAGTCAGAGAAAGGCAAATACCATATGATCTCACTTATATGTGGAATCTAAAAAACTGAATGAACAAGCAAAGTAAACAGAAATAGTCTCAGAGATATAGAGGAAAAACTGATGGTAGCTAGTTGGGAGGGGGATGGGGATGAAGGAGAAGGGGAAGGGATTAGACAGCATAAATAGGTAACTACAATATTGTCACAGGGATATGAAAGACAGTTCGGGGAATATAATTAACAATGTTGTATTTTGTAGGGTGTCAGGTGGTCACATGTCTTGCTAGGGAGAATGCATCATGGATGGGGAAGAGGTTTGATCACTGCACTGTACACCTGAAGCTGATGTTGTATAATATTGTATGTCAACTATAAGTGAATATATATAGTCATGGGACGTGAAGTATAGTGTGGGAGTGGAGTCAAGGGAATTGTAATAGATATGTATGATAAGGGGGGAGAGTGGGGTGGCGGATTGGGGGCGGGGGGGTTGTCACTTTGAGGGGTAAAAAGTATAACTATTGCACTATTATACAGCTGAAACTAATTGAAAAATGTTTATTTCACAAAAACATTCAATATTGTTTTGTGTTAATTTCAGTTGTACAGTATAGTGGTTAGCCATTTGTATAATTTAAGAAGTGATTCCCCTATGATGTCTGACAACTAATTTAGCAAACTCATCCTCGAAAAAGTGCTACATACCTCATTGCTGAATATCAGTACGGTCAGCTTCGAAGTAGTCCCCTTGGGAATCTATGTACAGATGCCAGCGCCTCATCTACCCTTCAAAGAAATTTTGAAACTCATTTTGGAATAATCATCAGAGCTGTCATCATATTATCCTTGATGTCCTGAATGTTATCAAAATGTCTGCCTTTCAATATTTCTTTTATCTTTGGGTAAAGAAAGAGGTCACTGGGGGCCAGATCAGGTGAGTAGAGATGGTGCTCCACTACAATTATTTGTCTATTGGCTAAAAAGTCACTCACAGACAGTGCTGTGTGAGCTGGTGCATTGTTGTAATGCAAGAGCAATGAATTGTTCGTGAAAAATTCAGGTTGTTTTTGTCTAACTTCTTCACACAGCCTTTTCATCACTTCCAAATAGTAAACTTGGTTAACTGTTTGTGCAGTTGGTACAAATTCATAATGAATAATCCCTCTGATATCAAAAAAGGTTAGCAACATCGTTTTGACTCTTGAGTTAGGCTGACGGAACTTTTTTGGTCATGGAGAATTGGCTGACTTCCATTGTGCACTTCGACACTTTCTTTCAGGGTCATATTAGTACACCCATGTTTCATCACTAGTGATACATGACCCAAACATCGTCTTGCCTCTCCAAAAGGTCTTGGCAAGCTTCGACTGTCCTTTCCTTTTGTCCATTGGTGAGCTCCTTCAGGACCATTTTTGCACACACCTTTCTCATGCCAAGATTTTCAGTTAAGATTTTCCTGTTTCTCTATCGATGTTTACTTGGTCCTCTATGCTTCTCGCAGTCAGTGACAATTTTGACGCACAATTTGTCTGTTGTTGTTTTTTTTTTGCAATGTTTTTGTTAGTTCTGCTCATTACTGGCCTCCCTGACCTCTAGTCATCAGTGACATGTTCTCTTCCCTCAGAAAAACGTTTAATCCATTTGTACACTGCTGTGTTCTTCATGGCATTATCTTCATAAACTTGGGCTAACATTTCCCTGATTTCACTTCCACTCTTGCCAAGTTTAACAAGAAATTTAATGTTTGTTTGTTGCTCTAATTCAAGCTCAGACATTCTTGCAATGGCACAAAAAAACTCACAATAATAAACTCCACTCAGCAAGACACCACCACACGTCGACACAAACACAACTATGAGACACTGATATACCAAGGTTATGAAACTTACCAAGCTGTTTGTACAGTGCTGCCAATGTAAGTGCATGGTGGCAAGTTCACGAACTTAAATGCCAGACTTCGTAGTCTAGTACTCACTTGGCACTATACATAGCTATTACCATCTTGACTATATTCTCTGTGCTTTACTTTACATCCTCATAATTATTTTGTAACTACCAATTTGTACTTCTTTTTTTAAAGATTTTATTGGGGAATTGAAGAAGGAAACAGTGTTGGGGAATTGGGGAAAGGGAACATTGTGTTTTTCCAGGACCCATCAGCTCCAACTGAAGTTGTCCTTCAGTCTTAGTTGTGGAGGGCACATGCTCAGCTCTAAGTCCAGTCGCTGTTTTCAATCTATTTGCGGGTGGGCATAGTCCACCACCCCATGTGGGAGTCAAACCGGCAACCTTGTTGCACACTGAACCATGTGGCCGCCTGTCAGCAGCTCGCGGCTGCTCAGCTCAAGGTGCCAAATTCAATCTTAGTTGTGGGCAGGGGGGAGAGTGGGGGTGCAGCTCACCATCCCATACAGGTGTCGAATTGGCAACCTTGCTGCTAAGAGCATGCACTCTCACCAGCTCAGCAGCAGCTCAGCTCAGGCGCAGCTCACTGGCCCCTGTGGGAATCAGATCGGCTCCTGTTGCTCAGAACTTGAGCTCTTCAACTGAGCCACTCGGCTGGCCCCCCAATTTGTACTTAATCCCTTCACCTTTTTCACCCTATCCCTTAGCCCCTCTCCTATCACCCTAATAAATCTAGTACCCATCTGACACCATACAGTTACAACATTATTGACTATATTCCTTGTGCTATACCTACCATCCCCATGACAACTTTGTAATAGTGTATTTGCACTTCTTAATCCCTTCCCTTTTTTCACTCACTCCCAACCCCATTCCTATCTGGCAACCATCAAAATGTTCTTTGTATCTATGAGTGTGTACATATAAGTGAAGTCATATTGCATCTGCTTTTCTCTGTCAGACACACTCCACTCAGCACAATACCTTCTAGGTCCATTCATGCCACCACAGAAGGCAAGACTCATTCCCTTCCATGCCCAAGGAATATTCCATTGTATATATGTACCACCTCCTCTTTATTCATTCATCCATCGATGGACACTCAGGCTGCCTCCACATCTTCGCTATTGTAAATAATGTTGCAATGAACATATGGATGCACATGTCCTCTTGAAGAAGTGTTTTGGGTTTGTTCAGGTAAATACCCAGAAGTGGGATTACTGGGTCCTTTTTTGTCTCTTATTGTAGCCTTTGTTTTAAAGTCTATTTTGTCTGGTATAAGTATTGCTACCCCGTTTTTTGTTTTGTTTTTTTCCACTTTCTTGAAATAACTTTTTCCATCCCTTCACTTTCAATCTGTGTGTTTTTCAATTTGAAGCAAGTTTCTTATAGGCAGCACATGTAACGGTTTTGTTTTCTTATCCATTCAGTAACTCTATGTTTATGATCAGAGCATTTAATCCATTTACATTGAAAATAATTGTTGATATGTAGTTATTGCCATTTTATTCTTTTTTTTTTTCCTCTTAAAAAAGTCCTTCTAACATTCCTTGTAATACTGGTTTAGTGGTGATGAATTCTTTAGCTTTCTCTTATCTGGGATGCTGTTTTTTTCTGTCCTTCAATTTGAAATGATAGCCTTGCTGGGTAGAGTAGTCTTGGTTGTAAATTCTTGCTTTTCATCACTTTGAATATTTCTTGCCACTCCCTTCTGGCCTGCAAAGTTTCTGTTGAGAAATCAGTTGACAATCTTATGGGACCTCCCTTATAAGTTACTAGTTGCCTTTCTCTTGTTGCTTTTAGGATTCTCTGTCTTTAACCTTTACCATTCTCATCCTCGTCAAAATCTTAAGGACTCTATTATACAGAACAATGCTCTCCACATTCCAGACATATACCATGTTCTCTCATGTCCCAAGCCTTCACTTTTGCTGGTCCCCATGCTTGGAAATTCTTCTCTATCCTCTCCCTTCTCTTCTTAGCAACATTCTGTTGCGGGAAAAGAAAAGATGGTCCTTGGCTTCACATAGGAATGTATTCTAATGTGAGCCAATACAGAGTTTTAAAGTAAGTTTAGCAGAGAGTAAGTAAAAAAACAAAGGCCATCCCATAGACAGAGTGGCAGTCTCTAACCACAAGTGGAAAAGACCCCTCCATCCCCCAGGCTAGGGTTTATATGTGTTTTCTGCTTCCACAAAAATTTCATTGGTATGAAGAGAAAGAGAGATAGAACAATGGTAAGTTTATCTTTAACTTCAATAAGATGCCAGAACAGGGGCAGGTTGGTTAACTCTTGTAAAACACAACCTGTGTTTAATTTGCTATGGGTTTAACTACAGGGATGGTCCTAATGGAGTCTCTAGTCTTCCAGGGGATTGCTCTGTGTCACTGAGTAATGTCTGCCTGAGTTCTGTATCTTTGAGCACATAGACAGCAAGCTTGGAATCCAACCCCTTAATTTCTTTCTCTGTAAAAATAGTCCTCATGCTCCTTCCCTATATTTATTCTACTTAATCTAAACATACTGCATTTAAAGTGTTCTGCAATCCTGTGCAGAAATATTCTCTCGCTTCTTTGTGATATCAAACATTTTGTAAATACCTCATCATCCCTGCTACAGATTGGGTTCTCTGGGAAGCAGACTTTGAGATAGATTAGCATAAATGGAAATACTCTTGGAACCAACGCCAATGGAAGCAGGAGGTAGAACAGAGCTGAGATGCAGCACCAGCAGTCCTTAGCCAACCCCAGGGAGTGTTCTGGGGGCTGGGATAGTGTTTTAAAATTGTCCCAAGTTGGAGCAATAAGGCCAGAACTTTATACCCCCAGACTGATGAATCATTGGATTTGGGCTATCCCTGGAAAGAGACATGACCTTGGCTGAGGAAGTTTTCCTCAGTAATTTTCCTCAAAAGTCTGACACCTAGGGGATATCTCCTGGTAATCCTCCCAGAGTTGGGGAATAATTCCTTCATTACTGAAGAGGGATCTGGGAGGTGCATCAACAGCATCCAGTACAATCTCCATGCTCAAAGAAACTGACTATATAGCAATACACTCTTCTATTGAGGCTGTTTAAGAAAGGTCCATCATCCTCACTAGGTTCAGAGATTTTTGAGGACCAACAGCATGTATTTAAAGCACAGTTGGGATTTAACAAAAGTGCAGTGAAAAACTCATTGAAAAAAAATTACCCAAGGAGAATGATTAACCAAAAACACAGGAGCCTAATTGAAAAAACAGAGTGTCAATTTCTTCCTTTACATCATTATTTTTCAACCATTTTTTTCATTATCACCCCTCTAATGGCCCTTTCAGATATTTTCTCCTAATCGCCACATGAAATTTTAATATCACAGATATATTGTATATCTTTGCATGTAGTGTACTTTATGTATTAAAAAAAGATTTTTCCCCCAGAGATCAATTTTTATACCCATAGGAGCAATACTGCTCCATTGAGAATACACAATTTATACTAATAAATATTACTGCTGAGAAGATCAGAGTACTTAAGTCAGCTCTTCAATCCATTCTCTCTCATGTGGTAAGTCTACATGAGATGCCATATTACAACCTGGATGTGGTGTGCTGTGCATGAAATCAAAGTAAACGGAGTTAAATGACCTTACGGATGCCTATTGAGCTAAGATGGCCCCAAATACTTTACTCAGGGTATGATTATAGCAACCCAGCATTTTGGGAGCCAGGGGAGCCTCCGTTATTTTGCCTAGACCCTGTGCAAACTACTGCTAATTAATCAAACTATTTAATTTTTATCACTTAAATTTAATTACAAATTATTTCAGGCATACAAAAAATAGAGATAATATAAGGACTACTCTTATACCCATAATCCAGTTTAAGAGATAAAGCATTATAGATACATTTGTAACCCCTTGTATACTCATCCCAATCCCATTTTTCTCTTGCTCTCCCTAGGAATAACCACTATCCCGAATTTGGTATTCATTATTCCCATGTATGCTTTTACATTTTTCTCTATAACTGCTTTTTTAAACTTGGTTTCAGAATATAAATATCCTTTTATATGTTTACTGCTGTATGCATTCCACTGAATACACCACAATTTTCACTTTTGTTATCACATTCAATCTTCTCTGCTTCCCCTGGCCCAAACCCTCATACCCCAAAGTTTTTAGCCCCAAACAGGTTCTTAGCATATCTCCTGATCTTTTAAAAACAGACTTGCAAATATCCTGGTCCTTTCAATAACACATTTATAAACTATCTCTCAGCTTAGGATACTTTAGCAGATAATTTCATTATTTACTAATTCTTACTAGACTTATTGTAAAAATTACCCTTTCAAGACCATATCTCCAAGTTATTGGCACACTCAGCTGTAGTTCCCTGTAACCACCCTCATAGGTGTATAATCCTGTAATCCAGGAGTTTATAATGGCAATATTTTTCTTTCAACATTTTTGAAAAATTTGTTGGAATTTTTCTTTCATCAGCCCTCAAAGATAAGCTCCTTGAGTGGAAACTCCTGCACTGTTATGGACTAAATAAATGTTTGTTGTCCTCTCGGCCAAAAAAAACCTCATACTGTATATTTAAACCCTGACCCACAATTTGACTGTATTTGGAGATAGGGCCTTTAAGGAAGTAATGAAGGTTAAATGAAGTCAAATGGTATGGCCCTTATGTGATAAGATATTAACTCCTTTACACATAGTCTGCTTTGCTTTGAGTCTTTCAAAGCATTGCTTCATTTAAATTTTATCTAAACTTCATTCTGCTGCAATAAACCTAACTTTGTATGCTACAGGTATATTCCTGTGAGCTTTATCAGATGGGCTTTATCAACTGACATGAATGTTCGTGACCATATTAAATGCAAAACAGCAAAAAGTTTATGACCCCATTTTTGTTTTTAAAATATAAATATGTGGAAAGATGACTAGAAAGTTATATATGAAAAATGATTATATCTGTATTACCTAATACAGTAAACATATATTTACTTTTTAAGGTTAAAGGACAGTCATGGAAAAAAAAAGATATGATTTTACATAATCAATACTTGCTAGGCTGCCAAGGGAACCCAGGCAAACCCTGATATTATCGTACAATAGCTTAATTCATAAATCCACAGGTGCTAACCTAAATAGAATGGGCAGTGGAACTTCTCAGGCAAGTCATCACCCTGTCTCTGAAAACAAAACATAAGTGTAGGATTACAAATCTAATAAATATAATAAAATTTGGAAACTTTTAGAGCTAAAGCAGATCCCGATGACATCTTCTAAATTGTTGACCTTGTAATTTACAGTCTTTAACTGTAAATCTGTATAAAGCTTAGCTGGGGTAGTTTATGTCTATTATTTACAAAATTCCCTTCGACCCATTAATCACACAATGCATTACAACACTGTTGCAAAGTAGGTCAAAATACATTTTTGACATTTGGTCTAAATAGTCTTACACGCTTTCTATTTGAGAAAGCCTATATTTAGTTCACTTAAGACACTTGCTTACATACTAATTATCACTTAAAGATAAAACACTGGAGTTTCCTTATAGCAAATGGAATTTAAAATCCCTAAGGTAATCCCCAATCATCACTTTAGTAATTAAAATCTGAAAAGGTAATTCATTTCCTTCTAAGGAGGTGGTCAACACAGAGATGGTCAACACAGCATACCAAAATATAATTTAAAAAATTTTTGTGGTCTTGTATCAAAGCTCAAAGTGCAACAAGGAAGCTACCTCTAACATGTAAACACAATTTAATGTGTTTCTGTTATTTCTTAAAGCTACAAATTAGTAGGTAAATATTGCCGCCTACGGACTTTCCAATTTTTGAATTCTGGAGACGAACAAACAGAGTGAATGAACAATACGACAGGACTGGGTTCTAGCCAGGCAGGCGAATGGTAGGCACTCAGTCTGCGTTAGTTGGCCCTGAATAGAAGTACCCATAATGTGAATTACACCGAGGCCCTGGAAGAGGAGCCCATTCTGAAAGTATCTAGCCGATCACTGGCCCAAGGGAAAACACCGCTTCTACTCCACCACCACTCCCAGAAATAGAATGAAGAAAACCTACTCGTACCAGGAAGACTTTGACCTAGGCCCTGTGACCCGGTGTCTCGCTCTTCACCCTCCTCCCCTCTCTGCCAGCAACGCCGGCTTCCCCGTGAGCCCCTCCCCGGGACTCATTCAAAGTGCCACGTCGCCAAGTCTCGGGTCACCAGCCACCCCGCGGAGGCTTCCTCCAGTTAACCCCTCCCAGCCTCCCGTCCAGTCACCGATCCCCAGGCTCGGCTCCTCCACCAGGCCCGAAAGAGTCACAGCCAACGGCGACAGCCGCGCCCCGGCCCCAAAGGCTCCCACCCCGCCCGGCCCGCGCCCACGTGATACCCTTCCCCGCCCACCGGCTCCCACGTGACTTGCGGCCCTCCCCGGTAGTCCCCGCGCGCGGCTTGGATCCGGGCCGAAGCCGCCATTGTTCCGCCGGGGGAAGACAGCGGAGCCTGGCACTGGCGCCGAGACGCCGCTTAGCGGCCGCCACTGGAGACACTCCCTCCCGCCGCCCCCCCTCCTCCTGGCGGCGGCCGAGTGAGGCTGACAAGGGGGAACTGGGAGCCCCCTCTACTCCTGGCGGCGGCAGCGGCCGATCCCGGCTCCGGCGCGAGGGGCGGCCGCGATGCGCTCGGCCTGAGACAGTCGGCCCGGCCCCTCCTAGCTTCCCTTGACTCTTCCACGGCGTCTCTGCGCCCCAGCGTCATCCTGCGCTCCCTCTGACGGGAGGGAAGATGGCTGCACGGAGCTGGCCAGACGAGCTGGCCCAGCAGGCCGAGGAGGGCTCGGCCCGGCTGCGGGAAATGCTTTCGGTCGGCCTAGGCTTTCTGCGCACCGAGCTGGGCCTCGACCTGGGGCTGGAACCGAAGCGGTACCCGGGCTGGGTGATCCTGGTGGGCACGGGCGCGCTCGGGCTGCTGCTGCTCTTCCTGCTGTGCTACGGCTGGGCCGCGGCTTGCGCCGGCGCCCGCAAGAAGCGGAGGAGCCCGCCCCGCAAGCGGGAGGAGGCGGCGGCCGCCCCGGCCCCGGCCCCTGATGACCTGGTCCTGCTGAAGACGCTCAGGAGCGACGAGCAGAAGAAGAAGAGCAAAAAGAAATTGACCGAGAAGCCCAAAGTGAGTAGGGGAGGAGCGGCGGTAGAGTAGGGGCGAGGGGCCGGCGTGGAGACCCTCGAGCGAGCGGAAGGCCGAGCCCCGTCCCCTCCATCCGGGAATAGAAAAGGAAGAGAGTGAGGTTAGTCGAGAGTCCGGACGCAGAACTCCCCAGGTGGAGTAGGTGATCGGTTGGACAAGTTACTTGGGAGAATGGTGGGAAGTCGGGGCGTGTAGGACGGGTGGGGAAATGTAGGACCAGTTTGAAGGAAGGAAGTTAGATGGTCCGCCTGGGGTATGTTTCAATAAAAGCGCCCAGCGGTCAAGCCATTTTCGGGAACCTTGACCGGCCGGAATCACGTACCAACTCTCCTTGAGGCCTACGGGGTAGGGTGCGTGTGTAATGGGACCTTAGGATGGCGTTGGGAAGTTCTGGAAAGACTACGCCTGGAAGACAGATGTCTAGTTCAAGTCACATTGAGACGGTAGCCACTGGAGGCAACACGGTGACCTGAAAACTCTGGGGCTTACAGAGGATTAAAGGTACCCAGGTCTAGATGCGCTTCCATTTTAGTTGGGACCGTTAAAGGGAAATGGTTGCCCACTCTTATTTCTATGAATGTGGCCAGTGGAGGCCGGAACAGGAGCAAGGCAAGAGAGTCGGTTACCTAATATACTTTGGGGGAGGGGGGGGGTACGTGGCCCTATGAAAGAGCTAAGGCAAGTTCAGCGAAGGGGTGTGTGAGGTTTCGAAATAGAGTAAAAGGGGATGACAGGGCAGAATGGTGCAGGCTGAGGTTTTGAGACACCGATTTACCAGACCACGTGTGGAAGTACAGAGAGCATCACAACCGTTTTATCATGCCTTGTGTTTTATTTCTGCGTTCTTTATTGCCTTTCCCCCGTGGTTCTTACATTATATCTTCAATGGTTTTATTTATTTTTAAAAATACAATTGAGCAAATAGAGTATGAATGATGTGTACAACTAAGAGCAGCTCCTACTCTATTTTTATATCCACTGAATTAAGCCCTTCACCTTTTCAGTAAACGTAATCACGGCCCCACTTTGCGAAATCAACTCTGGTGTTTGGTGGGCAATGGGAGGTATACACATAGGAGTTAGAGTGAATCATGGAAACTAGTGTAGGAGACAGATTCATAAATAGTTCTAATATTGCATAGACTGATAGATGCTGTAGAAGTATGAGCAGTGTTAATGAGATTTGGAGGGTGGGAGATTATTTCATGGGAGAGATTTAGGAAAGTTATTGGAGGAAGTGGGATTTGACTTCAAACTAAAGTAATAAGTATTGTTGATAAGAGTACAAAAAAATAAGGCTGTGTTAGAGACTTGACAGGTCACAGTGCTTTATTAGCCCTAGATAAGTATTCACATTTTGCCTGCTGATTAAGAAGTTACAAGATACATACAAAACCCAGAAAAGGGTACAACTTTCTCATTATGAATACTACCTTTAATTAAGAGAAAACAGTACTGATTTAGAACATATATAATTAAATTTGTAGAGAGCATTAAGGATTACCAGAAAGTAATGTTATGATGGAAATAGAGAACGTGGCTCCAAGATGAGCAAAGGTGATCTTGAAAAAAACTACACATATTATTAATAAGCCTAAGCCTTGTGTGGATGAAGCAGGTTGTGAAAATTTCAAAGCCCTGTTTGAGAATTCTAAAATTTCAGATACACTTGAGCTCCAAGAGCCCATCCAAAGTGCATCATAACACTCAGATGACTCATCTGAAGAACACAGACTCCTGTGAAACTTGTACTGTGAGAAAGGCTCATCAGACTTAGGACTTATCCCTTCTCCTTCTTTTCATTTGCGTGAAGGAAGGGGCGAATGAAGAAAAAAATCTTTTATTAGCTTTGGGGAGTGGAGGATGGGAAGAACAACTAATGGTTGATGTTAATTGGGTGAGAAAATATCTTTGCCTCCTAATGGTAAAGATGTGATGGAGAAGTTTATCAACATTTACAAAATTGTGGCTTTCAAATGTTTTTTACTGCAACCTGCAGTAAGAAATACATTTTACATTACAATACCCACCTCACACATATAAAAACGGTTCTGTTTTTCTTTAATGATATTTGTATGCCATTAAATTGGGTTCACATTTGACTGTGAGGATGACCCACACTTAGAAAAGCACTGCTTTATAGGGCTAAGAAGTATTAACATAAGCTGCCCTTTTTTAGTACTCATACGCTTTGCACTGTGCTAAGTATTTACTTGCAGAAGAGCAGGATACAGCTTCCAAATTGAACACAGTGAAAAGAAATTCAATATTCATATGTCTTACTGTGAGGGAATACAAAAGTAAAGGCTCAGTTTCTCCCCAGGGAGCTTTTTACTCCAGTTGTGCACAAAAGATACACTCACAAAAATTAACAGTGCGACCCCAAGTATGGCAATGAAAGACTTAATCACAGAATTTGACTTTGAAACTGGGTCAGAGCAACATAGTGGAAGAGGCTGAAGAAACAGCAAAAGCCCAAGGAAAGGAGGCCTAACTGTCAGCCTGACAAGAATGGGGAACTCTAAACTTGAGTAAGGCATTTAACCTTGTTCTGTTTAGCTTATCTTGTTTATAAATTGAAGATCTTAGTTGAGTTAAAACACTGCCGGATTCCTCAAAGTGTTATCCCTGACTAGTTGCAGTAGAGTTACTTTGAATGCTTCTTAAAATTTGTAGATTCCTGAGCCCCTCCACAATCTTATAAATTCAAAATCTCTTAACAGCCTAGGGAATCTGCATTTTTAACAAGCTCTCTTGATAAATCCTTACCTGTTTGAAAACCACTTCCTGGAACAGTGCCATAAGAACCATAGTATAAGAGATTTCTAAGTGGAGTCATGTTTAATCTTTTAATCCATCCATCCCTTATTTACTATATTCTAATATACATTTTAGGATATACTTATTATTCAAGTGAATTCAGTGATGTAAACTATAGCTTTTTTTACTCTTTTATTTCATTGTTTTTAGTTTTCTTAAATCATTCCAAATTTTGCAACATGAATTTTCAAAATTTGCTTCTTGTAACTTGTTTTTGTTTTTAGAGTGGGTGGTGGTTAACTTTTTAAAACCTATTCATAAGCGTTTTTTGAAATTCTTATATTATTTCGGTTTTTATCTTCCAATAATAACTTACCATAGGTCTTTTAGGGCATGAATTGGAGGTTGTTCCCCTGTTAAAGTGAAGAGGGTAGCACTTTTCACTGATCTTAGTTCTTGGCATTTTGGGAAATCATTTTTATCTTTCATGCATTTTCCATGACACCTCATTCAGTGTGAGTATTAAATAGCTATCAATAAATATTTTTCACTTGACTTCACCTAAGCAATGATTTAGATGGATGTGAGATCTCAGATAACTCAATTGTTGCTTTGAATTTCAACTGGAAGCACATAACCAGGATCAACTTCAAAGAAGATTCATTTCAGTAAACAAGTTATTTTTCTATTAATGTAGGAATTCTCATAAAGATTTGCCCTAATGCAATTGTCAGTATCTATTATATAAGCTCAGTGAGTGAAAGAGTAGTGTTTTGTCTTGTTTGCTTCTGTATAATCTTGCACAGTGTTCAATAAATAGTTAGCGAATGCATAATATGTGTCCCACCAAAATATTTCTACAACCTATTCCTATTCTTCATTTCTGGTAAACAGCCATATGAGCCACCTTTTTATTTTTACAGTGGAAAACACCTATGTTGGCCTCATCTGGCTAAAATTTTGTAAGGGCTATCTTTCTACAGCCAATAAATCATTCTAATAGTATGCAGTGTCTTTTGTAGTCATTACTTCTGTTCTGGTTTCACTGCCATTGCCCTACTTTTGGGTTTTATTACCTTTTGCTTAGGCTATTCTAACAGCATCCTAACTGGTTTTCCTGCTTCCAGTCTTTTTGTTGCTGATCCTTTCTACCCACTCATGCCACTTAAATCTGTAATCATGTGACTTTCATGTTTACATCTTTTCCGTAGTTTCCCTATCAACTGTTGAATAAAATATAATCTGTGACATGACATTCAAGCCTCTTCACGATTTTACCTCATGTTTATCTCTTACCATTACCCCTAAGACATTACCATTAGCTAGACTTCTATTTCTCTTTATTCATATATTTTTTTCTATTAAAAGTCTTTCTTTCTATAATTTCTGC